TCCATAAATCGATTATATGTACATATATAGTCAGCAGTTATTTGTACAGACAATATATACCTATATATTCACAACAGGATCCTAGATAGTTACTATTACTAGTTCTAAAAGCTTTTATTCCAAGATTGAAAAAAAAATGTGAGAAACATTACATAAAGACAAAAATTCTAAAAACTATAGATTCGGCTTTTGTATCGATAATAATATCGATTTCAATATTTTTCAAAAAATATTTAATGTACAGGTTTGACTCAATTAGAATATTATTATATGTTGTTATATTTGCAGGTCTCGATATAATATAAATAATCTTTTAAGTATAACCAAAATTTACAATGAACAGCTCAGTGACGTAATTTTTTTTTGAATATAATAAGTAATGACAAAAAAACGTATCACTTATTCATTATACTTGTACCAATACACTTAACCACAATATTTGTATGCACAATACACATTGTTTACGACCACAAAGAGTGACTTCATTTGCTCCATTTTAGGAAATCAGGATGAGTGACATTATGAACCAATTTTTAGAGTTACTGAGCCTACGCTATCTGCTACTGTGTATAAACAATGCTATGATAGTCTGTTGGAATAGTTAATCTACACATATAATAAAATTCTAACTAAGCTGAATCTGTATATTAAATATTTTTTGGAAAATCTTATTGAAATAGACATTAGTATCGATACAGAGGCCGAATCTATAGTTTTTAGAATTTTTATCTGTCTGTCTTTCTGTTACCGCATACTTTTGACTGCAGGAAAATATCTCATCTCTGAGAAATCTACACTAAATGTTGAAACATAACTAGAGACGAATCCGAGCGGAGCGAGGGTGAGTTCCTAGTATAATATATTGTTATAGTCGATGTTCTAAATAATAATAAAAAGCACAAAGTAAAGAGTTTGTTCGTAAAATTTTCTTAATTTTTGTTTACCTTACCTCAAATGGCACCAACGTGAAAAATATTTAATTACCTAAGTAAATGAAATGTCAGTTCAGTTATTTCATACTTTTAAGTGTCTTGAAGCCAATTTATTTATTTACTAGCATTGCCCGCGGCTCCACCCGCGTTCAGATGACCAAAAACCAAATTCTTAGGTTTTACATATAAGTATACTCTTACATTGCAGTTTTTGTATTTTTGTTCTCAGAAATGAGATATTTTCCTGCGGTAAAAAGCATCTTATATGTTGACCCGGATAACCAGCTATCATCATACCAAATTTCATCAAAATCCTTCCAGTGGGTTTTCCGTGATGCGGTAACAGACAGACAGACAGACAAAAATTCTAAAAACTATAGATTCGGCCTCTGTATCTATAATAATGTCTATTTCTATAAGATTTTCCAAAAAATATTTAATGTACAGATTCGGCTTAGTTACAATTTTATTATATGTATAGATAAAACTATTACATGATCGAATGGCTGGCTAGTACTACTGTGAAACCTGAGGCTCTTAAGGTCGATTCCCGGGTCGGGCCACCAATAGTTACTTTTTTCAAAAAAGACTCAGCAGCATCCTAAATATTGATAATGAAGAATTATAGTCTTTGTTTTGAATTCGCTTTGATGTTTTGTATATTTTTATTATTATTTCATTGCTACGCTACTTCCACATTTTATAATAGGTATGTCTATCTACGTCAATATACGAGTATAACCACGACACCTGCTGTACAACATTGTAGCTCGGTTTCAAGATGATTTTAAAATAGAATTTAATGTCTCATATATTTAAAGTTCAATTTTAAAATTGCATCAATACTCAGTTACAAAACATTGTAACAATAATTTCTTGCAGGTGTTGCATAACCTCCTTTTACGATAGACCGTACCTATAGGGCGCTCAAAATCTATCTTCCTTCCTTCCTTTTAACTTCCCCAGACTTTTCCTAGATTCCCAAACTATAACATTTTTTTATTAATTATCTTAATATAATTAATATTATTAGGACCAGTTAAAAATATAATAAATAAATCAATTTTTATATTAGCTAAGGTTAACCATAACTAAACAAAGTCAATTGACTCTTTGTAGCTGTTTGATAATTAATTAGGTAACCAAGAAATACATACATAAATTATTCATTTTTTTAGCCGGATGATTAAAAAAACTAGTCTAAAATGTTCATCCATACTTCCATACTAATATTATAAGTGTGAAAGCGTATTTGTTTGTTTGTTTGTTTGTTTGTTTGTTTGTTTGTTTGTTCTTTTTTACGTCGAAACGGAATGATGTATCAGTGTGATTTTTCGTGTGGAGATAGTTTTCCAAATGTAAAGAAGAGGTTTCCGGCTGGAGAGTGACATAGGTTACTTTTTACAGTAGGATATTATCTCAATCCCACGGAAAAACACGGTTATAATACAACCCAAAAAAATATTTATGATCAGAATTATTTGAAACTTTAATTAATTAATTTATATGTTTATTATATTGGGACATTAATATTATTAATAACATTAATATTAAACTTGGTATTAATACTCTTCAATACAATTAAATGAATATGTGTTTTAACATTTTTCGAAATTCACCCATAAAGGGATACTTATTTTAATAAGACAGAAAAGTTTGTATGAAAACTACCTTTTTAGAGTTTTTTTATAGTTTTAGCGCGAGCGAAGCCGCGAGTTCTGCTAGTATAAAATTTAGTGTGTAACTTCAAACGTAACATATTACTTTTTCAAAATTTTCTTCATATATTTAAACTTTGTTTAACGACTTTTTACCAAAATATAACTCACTATGCCATTTATGAAAACTTGTGAGGCTAAGTATTAAGTTGCAAAACATAATTGCAATATAATTCATAAAGCCACTTTCGCAAATCATTATGAGCGTTTTCGTATATACTCGTATTCTCAATATCTAAAAAAAAACAAAAATCACTAAGAGCTTTAAATATTGAATCTGAAAAGCTCTCGAGTTCGTTTTGAGAGCAAAATAATACAATAATAAAAAATGGTCCTTAAAGTACGTGCAGGATCCACTTTTATTCAATTGAAATAAACTGTTATAAAAGGCTTTTAAAATCGTTATCTAGAACGTTGTAAGATGGAAAATCATTAAAAAATAATGCATATATTTTTAAGCAAATGTAAAGTAATAGAATGGCAGTTACTTTGGTTGAATATTATCAACAGCTGTTACATTTTTTGTCTCTATCTGAGTGTACTAAACTATTTATGTTGGGAAATTAAAACACAGCACCATCTAGTTCTATGGTAAGCTACGAGGCTTGTGTTATGGATACTAGATAGTTGATACACTACACATATATAACTTTAAATACATACATATCATAAATATAAGCAGCCATGATTGGAGTACAAACATTCGTGCTCATCACACAAATGAATGTCCCCAGCGGGACTCGAACCTGCGACCGCTGGCACAGCAAGTAGGGTCACTACAAACTGAGCCAAGCGTGTCGTCAACTATGTGCACGTTTATGTGCACATTAATCGAGAATTGATCATTCGTTCATTCTTCGTTTTGGCTTCATTAAAAAAACAACCTCAATATAATATTTAATAATAATAAATTGAGAAATTAAATGTGAAAGTTTAGATGTTTGGATGTTTGTTACTCAATCACTCCAGAACGGCTGAATGGATCTGGATGAAATTTGGCACAGAGATAGATTATAGTCTGGAATAGCATATAAGCTTTTTAGCCCGGAAAAGTGCACGGTTCCCGTATTATAGATTTGATTTAATATATCTAATGATTTAGACCTAACATATAATTTACGAATAATTTTTCATATTTTTTAATGTAGCAATGGATCAATATTATTTTTTGTATTCAGATTTCTTTTTAAATAAAAATATTATGCCTCAAGTGCTTCCATATAAATGTCATTAACAAAACTTTCTTCCTAAGGATAAAATAATTAATAAATTTTGAAGTTACTTTGAAGTCCTGTACCTTCTTAGTAAAAAGTACGTAAATTATTATCTCGGTAAGTCAAATGAACAATAGAGGTAACGAATTGGCTCGGAAAACTAAAGGCCGATCCACACTATAATGCTATTCAAAGTTCGCTCTCGGTTCAGTATCGATCTGATAAAGCATTTTTATAAAAGAAACATTGTTGATTCGATAGAAACTTGTTTATTGATATAAATACTTTACGAGACCGATATTGGACCGAGAACGAACCGTGACAGGCACTATAGTGTGGATCGGGCCTAAGTGAATTAGACTTAAACCCTAATCTCGTACCTGTGAATGATTTACATCTTGATAACTACTCGCTAGTAATGTCAAGAAACACATTGTATGTAGACCTGCATGTCGGAAAATTTATCTCGCTTTCGACAGTGTGAGAATTTTGCCAATTCGCATGTGACCATCATGATGGACTATATTTTGGCCTTTATATTCTTGCATTAAAAGGAGGCCCGTGACTTTAAGTGAATATATACAGATAAATAAAATTGAAGTATCTGTTTGTAATGTCAAAATAACAGCTTTTTAGTAAATTCATATGAAATCATATACCTACGGTACTTATAAGAAAAAAACATTGTTGTCTGTCGGTCCATCGGTTTGTTGTCGGACTGATTTTAACGAGACTTTTCCTGGCATATAGCTGATGTTATAAGGAGAAACTTAGGCTACTTTTATTCCATAAAAAGAATTAGGGTTCAGGGAAAAAAGCTTAGTTATTATAATTATACTAGCGGCTCACCCTCGCTTCGCTCGGGTTTGTCTCTAGGGAAACAAAAACAAACCTATCTCACGGGAACCGTACATTTTTTCGGGATAAAGTGTTTTTCCTGTAATACTAGCATGTTAATTAAAGATAAAATATTTTCGTTAGTGTGTACGTATCATTAATTTATACAAATTCAATAAAGATACCATAAAATTGTTAAATCAATCATCTTCTCTCTTATCGTTATTGCAATTTCATGGTTATAATTGTACAAATGATTACTTTTCGCATTGTTCACTTCAACAAATGACATTATCATAATGTATAAATGGCTCGTGTTTATCGTTATTTTAAAAAGTAAGTCATTTCTATATAATCTAGCTTTAAGTATAATATAAATTAAAACAATATACTACTAATATTATAAATGCGAAAGTTTGTGAGGGTGTGTGGATGTCTGGATGTATGGATATTTGTTACTCTTTCACGCAAAAACTATCAATTGGATTTTAATGAAACTTTACAATGAAATAGCTAATGAGCTAAGCCTGTGTTATTTTGAAGAATGTATCAGAATAAGACATAGATTTTTATCCCGGAAAAATGTACGGTTCCCTTGGAATAGATTCGTTTTTGTTTTTCTATATATTTTCGATAATATATACAAACATATAATTTAAACTTTTCCGTATAAATATATATATATGTACATTGTACATGTTAGATATGCTACTTAAAAGTTAATAATAAGTGATCCTGTACATGCCTACTACATTTGGTTTTACTCGCGTATTCTGCTTTACACAAGAAATTGCTGAGCATTATTAGATCCTTTAGAAAGCAGGTAAATTAAGATGAAACTCACTTATGTTATAGGCAGATAGGCAAAATTAAAAAGGATTTTTATATTTATTTGGCTTCTAGGATACTTTTTCTATCCTGATTTTGTTAACTTCACTTCTAGTTATGTATCTAATCAAATCTTGGAAATCGTTCTTTGGAATAGTGAAAAGAGTTTTTACCTTACTTCTTCTTATCGCATTGATTTAATATTTTATAAGTAAGAATACAAATAGCGGTGGTATACATTTATACATATAATAAAATTTAAACTAAGTCGAATCTGTACATTAAATATTCTTTGAAAAATCTAACTGGAATAGGCATTATTATCGATATAGAGTCCGAATCTATAGTTTATAGAATTGTCTGTCTGTCTGTCTTTCTGTCTGTCTGTTACCGCACGAGTCACGAGAAAACCACTGGACAGATTTTGATGAAGTTTGCTATGATGATAGCTGGTTATCCGGGTCAACATATAGGATACTTTTTACCGCAGGAAAATATCTCATTTCTAAGAAAAAGTACAAAAACTGCAATGTAAGAGTATACTAATATGTAAAACCTAAGAATTTGATTTTTGGCCATCTGAACGCGGGCGGAGCCGCAGGCAATTCTAGTTGATTATAAGTAGTTTTTTAAAGTTATAATTTATATAAATTGTGTAATGCACACTTAAGAACTAATTAAGATTATTTTTTTGCTCAATCATCCAGAAGCGGGAAGCAAACAGCGAAACTTATTCATTCCCTTATAGAATTTAAAAAAATATTTTTATCAGGATATAATTGAAAAGATAAAATTTCGATCTTATCGTATCTTCTATCCTTTTCAACAAATAAGATTCTATATAAGTTATTTAAGATACCTTTCGAAAAAAAAATGGCCGATTCAAATTTATGGTACCTATATACGTAAAAGCTCAACAAACTTCGATTTTAACACAAGTCGTAAGCCCAAGAGTAAATCGAGTTTTTCTCTTACTTTTGCTTCTAAGGTAACTTAAGTTGATAGATTCCGTTAAATCGAATTTAGCATGTAAACCAAATTTACGTGCTTGATCTCGTATATATGTGAAACGATAATGCCACTACGGAAACGTGATTTGAGATACGTATATGAAACCACTTTATACGAGATTGCTTTGAGAGATAACATAATATTAGATCATAAATATTATATTTACATTTCATTCAAATCAGTGTATGGACTGTCCTGTTTGTTTGTTTCCCAGGCTAAGGATTTCTTCTTTGGCTATACATAGTTTCGTATGAAGTTTTAGTTTTCAGTTCATTTTTATATGGTAAAACTCAAAAGCTTTGTGTTTGGCGTGAATGTATTTATGTATGTTTGTAAGTACATATTTATGAATCTTGTTTCCTCGTAACTACTAAACGCTGATGTTCATCAAATCAATATATTGATTTACCTATTTTTTACTACAGATTTTATATGCAATTGGACTCCGCCTATACTTTCTTTTTTCATTTCATTTAAAAACTTTTTAGTTAACAATTTTTGTGCAAACGAGTATTTAAGTTTTAATGCAATTTCAATGTTAATTAATTTGTTTTTTTTTCACAGCTGTATCTGCAGAAGAAGATCGAGTATGTGAAATAAAATGTCCAGTTGAAGACAAAGAGATGGTTTGTGCATTTGATATAATAAAGAGAGCCTACAAAATTTTTCCTAGCAAATGTGCTATGGATGAATTTGCTAAATGTTTTAATAATGGTAAGTAAAGTAATATTATTTTCCATGAATCAATTAAAAGCTAAGAAAAATTGAAAGCATCTACAATTTCTATGGGATTTTGATTAATGGTTGCGTAAAACGGCTATTCGAGCTTGAATAAAAACGTTATTTTTTTGAATATCTACATACATATGTAAATATGTTAAAGGTATTATTTTAGTTACCATAATATTGTCTTATAATATTGTTTCTCCATATATTTTTTTATTTTAAATCTAACTAAGCAATTATATTGGTGTTTAGTATATGAGCTTATTCAACCTAGGACTGAAATAGCTTTTCATTGAATATTAACGTAAAGTAGCTACGCTGTTGGGATATGTTACTTAGCAAAAACGACAGAGATCCGACACACTTTTGGTTTATTTATCTGTATTTCTCATCCTTTATTCAGATCGTATTAAAAGAAAACTAAATTTAATTTCAACCAAAATACTGTATATAATAAAAACTTTTTAACAAAAAAATAAAAACCGACTTCAAACAAAAGCACTAAAAAGTAAAAAATAACTGATTGGTAGTTTTCATTTACTATACATACCTAATCAAATATTTTCTAAGTCGGTGTGCTTCCATATGAGCAAATTTTTCGGGAGACACTTAAAACTTTACAATATTTTTGGTATACTTATTAAAAAAATCTAAAACACCGTTAGTGGATAATATAGTAAGCTGTTATTTTTGATACTGTAAAATCCTACTGACTTACTCTTGCGTACAATCTAAGCCAAAAAATATTTTTTGACGAAATGTGGTGTTGGCTGGTTTGCCAATTGAGGTATCGCAATTTAGAGCATATCACGATTTCGACGAAGGACGAGTAAGGGATTTGTTTAAAAACCCCTAAATATATCTTAATTTGTCTCAGATCAGTTCAATCCCCGGCTTCTTACAGATTTATCTCCAGAGTAATTTGAGTACTTATCAGCGGAATAATATTTTATTATGTGTAGGCACTAGATAATTAATACATATTTATGGTAATTTATTGAACAATTTTTCCTATTTAATGAGCGGCACTTCACTTAACTAAGGGAATATTCCGTCTAGTTATTAATTTAATAAAAGTAAAGAAATGACTGTTTGTTTGTTTGTTTGTTTTTTGTTTAAAATAGCTAGTATTTGCTACTACTCGACAGATTTGAAAGATATTTAAATCATTTTATAGCCTATCTAACTATAACGTTACGACTATACTATATCTAAAGTTACGGCCCTTAATTGTACCCTAATTACAAATAATTGAAGAACACGAACGAAACCACGGTGAAAAACTAGTATAATATAAAATTCAAACATATTATTTGCAGATTTGGTCAAAACTCCGCTTAAATTTTGCTTAAAAGAGTACACTTCGACTCGAAGAATTTACGGAGAGTCATGTCCGGTATTTTGCCCAAGTCATTACAAACCAGTATGCGGCGCGTCGAAGTACAGAGATTATATATATAGGACGTTCAACAATGGCTGTTACCTAGATATGATTAATTGCAGAGGTGATGATGATACCACAGGTGAGACATTTTATTCTATACCACAACTAGTATGTTTACGATATACCTCATAAAATAAGGGTTAAGCCAGCCAAAATAAGGGTAGACCCAGCGAAAAGTGTTAAAGAGACTATTTTTCATTTATATTTATTTCCTACTTTAATATATTAACTAATTTTATCAATCACCTAGAGTATAAAATGTAAAACAAAAAGTAGATAAAGGGCCTACATCTACACTAGTCTACACTAGTATAATCATTATATAGAGAAAAAAAAGATTTGTATCTTTGTATGTTTGTAACGAATGAACCCATAAACTACTGGACCGATTTAAATGAAATTTGGTAAGAAGATAGTTTGAGACCCTGGGAAGGACATAGGATATTTTTTATTCCGGAAATCATTCCTTGAGGGAGTGTAAAAGCGAATGAAAGTTTGTATGGGGAATCAACCCAAGGACGAACCCGAGCGAAGCGAAGGCGAGTCGTTAGTAAAATAATAAGTTTTTAAGGTAAATGCTATATCTATACATATAAATAGGCAAAAATATAACAGTTCAGTACCTTTTTTCAACCGACTTCAAAAAGGAGGAGGTTCTCAATTCGACTGTATGTTTTTTTTTTTTTTATGTTTGTTACCTCAGAACTCCGTCATTTATTAACCGATTTGGACAATTTTTGTTTTGTTTGAAAGGGTATACTTCCAGATTGGTCCCATTTAAATTTCAAAAAAAAATACCACCCCTAAGGGTGGAAAACAACTAATGATGAATTTAACCTACTTCTAATTGTCATATTGACTTGAAACTTTGCAAGTATTTCTATTTCTGTTGATAGTACAGTGGTTTGGTGTTGTTGACCTGATCAGATGGCAAGGCCAGAAGGTGGGTACTGGGTATAGGTGGAACTCTTCAACGGCTAATAGTAGATACTTTGAGTTTGGGCTTATTTTGTTTGATTTGACAAGCCTAACACATTAGAATCCTTACTATGCTACTACTGTCTACACTAAAAAGGGAAAGATAAAAACTTTTTAACAAAAAAATAAAAACCGACTTCAAACAAAAGCACTAAAAAGTAAAAAATAACTGATTGGTAGTTTTCATTTACTATACATACCTAATCAAATATTTTCGAAGTCAGTGTGCTTTGGCTAAGTAATTAAAGCCTACTTATTAAATACATACCTAATGAAATATTTTCGAAATCGGTGCCAGCCCAAAGTACCTTTCAGTACCTTTTTCTCCTCTGTTTGTCAACCGACTTTATTTTTTTTTTTGTTTAGTAGCGTATGGACGAGATTTAGTGTTATCATTTTATATAAAAATGTTAAAAAAATGTTAATTCATATACCTATGATTTGCTCTTTTCAATAATGTTATTTGTTTTTATTAATCAAAATTTGGTCTAAAATTTAATTACTATAACTACTCGTACTATATATGATATGATACTATAACTAGGTACAGAATTGAGAATATATATATATACTAGCGGCTCACCCTCGCTTCGCTCGGGTTCACCTCTAGAAAAGCACAAACAGATCTATCCCACGGGAACCGTTCATTTTTACGGGATAAAAATAAGTAACCTGTTGTTTGACCTGCAATATAAGGTATCAGCATGCCAAATTTTACTAAATTAGGTGCATAAGTTGTTGTGTACTGAGCTGTATAAGTTACTATAAATTTTTAACTATCCCACGGGAACTCTTTAATTTTCCGGAATGAAAAGTATCGAATTTCATTTAAATAGGTTCAATAGTATCGGAGATTAGCCCGTACGAACAGACAAACAGACAGAGAAACAAAAAAATTGAAAAAATCTGGATTTGTTCTATTTCTTTCCTTACGGGATGTAAGAGGAGAACTGACTCGTTTTTTAGCAATTTTTTCTACCATCTATGTACAGACATTCGACCTCTACAGTTTTATTATTCATATATTATGTACCTATACTCAGATAGAATAAATAACGTATAATAAAACAGAAATATATAATAATGAAAATAGTTATAGCGAGTGTACCTTAGAAGATAGACATATACTATGTATAACTTTTCTATAGACTTTTTTAAGACTTACAATTTTCTTGTACAATGTTTTGATCTATCTCTTAAGGTTGAGCCAACGTTAGCCGTATAAATTTCTAAGGACAATTCGATAGAACCAGTTATTGTATTTTCCCGTGGGAAAGAAAGACTTTCTTTAAGTAAAACGTATCTAGGCAGTGGTATCCCAATGGTAACGCGCTCGCTTGGGAAACCGAGTGAAGCAAGTTCAAATCCCGGGTCTAGCACCTCTGATATTGGCCAGCGTGGTGGACTATGGCCTGATCCACCTCGTACTGTAGGGAGGCCCGTGCGTGTGTTAAAAAGGGCTGAATACAACATACATACATACATACATACAAAAGGTACCCTAAATGTTGACTCGAGTAATAAGTTATCACTTCACCAAATTTCGTTGAAATTGGTACATTACTTTTCGCGTGAAACGCGCACACAAAAACAGACAAACAGACATACAGGCAAATAGACAAACAGACAATTTTTTTAATAACTATTGTTTTGGGGTCTATGTTGTGTACATAATACGTTACAAATAAACAAAAACATCTATCCCACGGGAAAAGTACATTTTTCCGGGATAAAAAGTTACCTATTTGTTATTCTGATGTATGAACTATATTATTGTAAAGTTTCATTAAAATCCAATCAGTAGTTTTTGTGTACTAAGATGTATAAGTTTTTATAGTTTTTTAACTATCCCACGGGAACCCTTTAATCTTCCAGGATGAAAAGTATCTAAGATGTTGCCCGGGCATATAAGGTACCACCATGCAAAATTTCATTTAAATAGGTCCAATAGATCCGGAGATTAGCCCGTACAAAGAGAAAAACAGATAAACAGCTCGCTCGGGTTCGTCTATACATACGAATATGTTGTATTATCTCTTTAACCATTTGTCCAAATTATATGCAGTAAAAGGGAAAATCTTTTATTTTAAACATTTTAGACGATAAATTTACTTATTTTGATAAGAATTCATAACTGTTGATAATATGACCAATAAACATGACCTACCGATTTAAATTATTTTTTTAATATAAAAAACTACTTTTTGTGACTTAAATATAAAAGTTAGACATATGCTGTCGCTGACTTTTTTGTAGGCATTATTAAGCTCTACAACTTTTCTCTAGAACATAATCATATATCTCTCATCGTTAAGGCAGCGTTCGTAAGAAACGTTTTCGCTCGACCGTTTTTTCTCCGACTTACTTTGCAAATGCGACTACCACGAAAAATCCTTTTTATTTTTCGGGTTAATATATAGCCTATGACACTCAGAAAGAACGTGGCTTTCTATTGGTAAAAGAATTTTGAAAATCGGTTCAGTAGATCCAGAGATTACCCCCTACAACGTCACACACTCACAAACTCACAAGATCACAAACTTTACCTCTTTATAATATTATTAGTATATTAGTATATATATATATATATATATATATATATATATATATATATATATATATATATTAAAGTAAATAGGTCACATGCAACATCTATTATAAAGCTTTAACTAAATAAGTCATTTCTTCTCCAGGGTACGTCGAGGTCCCACTACAGTTTTGTCAAAGGCATCTTATGAAGAATATATTTAAAGAGAAGCTCGTAATGTCGGATACTAACGATTTTCAAGATTATAAGTAATATGATTAAATAAGAAATATAGACGATTGTTAAATTCAGTAGTTGATGTTTATTTGTTGATTATTGATTTGTATGTAGGTATAATATAGTATTATAATTTTTACACATCTATGCGACATTGTTCTAATATAAATGGTAGGAGGTCTCTTACCTTACTTAATCCAACTAGATATATGTATGTAGTAGATAATTAGTATGTAGTAGAATTATGTCAATACTCTTTGCATTCATTGAGCTTAAATAATCTTATGCGATAAAAAGCTTTTAAAATGTCGATACATTATTTAATATTAACTTATTCAAGTCGGCTTAGTAAAGGGTACACCCACTCAGCCTCATTTGCCCTATTTCGGAAGCAAGTAACCAAATATATCTCAAATTACCTCTTAGATTTCGAAGTGTTGTTGTAAATATAGTAAATATAGGTGCATAATAAGCCTCAACTTCATTTAAACCTTACGTAGGTTTGACCATTATTTTTAAAAACAATGGTCAAGTTAACAATGTGGTCGAATAAATAGAAGTAAATCAGAAACGCTCACGCACGGGTACATATAACGTTATTAAAAATGGTCTAATTAAGTATTTGTGAGAGAATTCCTAGTATTTCATAATATCAGAGAGAATGTGTTGCTTCGAGTCACCTTTTCACACTTTAGAAGTACCATGTGATTACGTCCATTCAAGAAGACGTTCTACAGTATTACTAAAAAACCCTTTCGGATTTTGTCCAAATAGTGCCTCCTTTGGAATGAACTTGAACATAATATTTAAGTCCACATTGAAATAGCAATACTTGGATATCGGGCGTAAGATAAACAAATGTTTTATGATTGAATAGATTTTATAAACGCTTACCGTGTCTTCACGCTCTATCTAACGGATTCAGTAAAGTTCTGAATGGATATATTTAACTTGTACTTTAGCAAGTAAATAAATTTTATAATTTATTATATAAAAGATCAAAATATCTTCTAAACAATAAATTAATAAATACTAGACCATAACACGTTGGTTCTAGTGCTCAATGGCGCCTGAAATTTTTAAAGAGCATCAATTTTCTGTCACGCACATTTGTACCAAATAATTATCAGAACATATAATAAACCAATAACATCATTATTGCAATGAAATCCTACTGTCATCGTCGATTAAATTGAAAATTAATTTACTCATTCAACAAATCCATACTAATATTATAAATGTGAAAGTGTGTTTGTTTGTTTATTTGTTTGTTTGTTTGTTTATTTGTTTGTCCTTCTTTCACGTCAAAACGGAGTGACGGATTAGCGTGATTTTTTGTGTAGAGATAGTTAGAGGACTGGAGAGTGACATAGGCTACTTTTTATCGCGAAAGGTTATCTATTTCCCACGGGAAAACACCTAATAATACAATCCAAAAAAAATATTTGTAATCAGAATTAGGTACTTGAAACTTTGTATTAATGCTCTTCAATAAAATTAAATAAATACGTGTTTTAGCATTTTTTTTAAATTCATCCTATAAGGGGATAAAATAGGGGATGAAAATTCGTATGAAACTGCCTTATTAGGGATTTTTTGTAGTTTTAGCGCGAGCGAAGCCACGGGTTCTGCTAGTAATGTATAAATGAGATCTGTGTCGAATAAAAAAAACAACAAAATAATTTAAATATATAACAACAACTTTTGTTAATTTATAAACTAAGAAAAAAACTCTTCTAATTATTCCATTTCGTGCAGGTGTTTTGGTCACGTATTGTTAAAGTTTTGATTGGCTGCCTAAATATCGGTTCCATTGTTTTTATTTTAAAAACTATTGAATGTATAACAGGGTATATCATGCATATATTTTTTAAAATTTTTACTTATATTATGTTAATAGATCACTTGAAATAACTTTTGATTCTGAAATCTGAAGCCACATCTTAGTTTTGCGAAAACGAACGGTTTAGTAAACCGAATTTTACATATTGGATTTCGGTTTTGATAACGAAATAATTCATTCATAAGTAAGAAACGTGCATGCATCCTTCAAGTAAGCCATTCACCGTTAGCAAAGAAACGCCAAATGTAAACACACAAAAACTCATTTTAACGGGTTAATTTTGTTCATGGAACCTAAATTCATCAAAAACCGTTCTCCCAGATTTAACCAGTTAAAGAAAAAAACCGAAACCTTAAACCGAAAAGCCATTCGCCTCACACAGCCACAAGTTTGGGGTCAATGGCTAAAACCGGTTCAAAAAATTAACCGGTTTTCGAGCCCTGCGCTCGGGTTCGTCGGTATTTATGTAATATTGTTCATACAAAAGTAGTGAAATCGCGATTAAAAAAATAGGGGGTGGGGGCAGAGGCTGAAAAATACTTTACGACCTATTCTCATACCTACCATATTTGGTAGGTATGAGAATAGGTCGTAGGTACAAAAAAAAATCATTAAATTCCACACTGCCACCAAAAATACCGTGACACGAGATTTTTATATATTTGATAATCCGTGTCACATTTTTTATAAGTTTATGTTTTTTTTTTCGAAAAAATATGAAAATTACGTTTTTTTTTCAGAAAAAAACACCTATAGATAGATAAACTGAAAAAGCAAAACCTAAACCTAAGTATAAAATTTGATCCAAATCGTTAGAACCGTTTCCGAAATACACGAAATAAATTGATATATAACAAACAAGAATCGCTCTTTTCATATTATAAGATAGATTTTTGATGTTTTCCTAGCCGATTCCGGCTACGGCGGCCAATCTCATTGAGATTAGCCAACTGCGCAGGAGATATTATAGTGCACAAGTGTACGCGCAGACACAAGTGCACTCTCTATTCCTATCACTCGCATACTCTGGTGGGACGACCACTTGACACGACCGGTGAGAGTTAAGGCGCAGGACCGACGGCTTTACGTGCTCTCCGAGGCACGGGGGTGAAACACCGCCAACTTCCCAACTCCGGGCTGTTACTGAGACTTACTATACAGAAAGACTCGATAACTAAACTTGGCCCGACCCGGGACTCAAACCCAGGGCCTCCGGGTGTGCAGCCGTACATGCTAGCCACTACACCACCGAGGCAGTGCATTATAAGATAGATATGTACGATAATACAATATTGTTTTATTTATGATTTGAAGCAATAGCATTATTCAAAGTAGGTACGTGATAGAATATCGTTTTCATAAAAAAAATGTTCATTTATATGAATTATTATGCAGTTATATAATAATATTTTTTCTTATTCTTATTATTTTCTTAGAATAAACTATTTCTAATATAATGCTACCTGAATACTGAAAATGATAGTTTTTCTGAGAGAAACAACTATGCGAATTTGGTTCATCTAAGAAACAATGCCAAGAGGGGACGAGTTATTTGCCTTCTGGTACCAAGCTATGAGAGGACTTGTTTTTATTGGAAAAGTTTCAACCCAAAGTGAATAACAAAGTGTGTACCTACTTAATTGAGGAAATATAGATGTTATAGTAAATTGATAACCACAAACAACTTATTCATTATACTTAGTAGGCACAGAGTCATAGCCCGATTACTAATTAATATAATAAAATCTAACTCAGTCAAATCTGTACATTAAATATTTTTTGGAAAATCTTACTGAAATAAACATTATTATCGATACAGAAGCCGAATCTATGGTTTTTAGATTTTTTGTCTGTCTGTCTGTATGTTACCGCATCACACAAAAACCACTGGAGGGATTTTGATGAAATTTGGTATGGTCATAGCTTGTTATCCGAGTCAACTTATAGGATAATTTTTACCGCGGGAAAATATCTGAGAAAAAATACAAAAATTGCAATGTAAGAGTATACTAATATGTAAAACTTAAGAATTTGGTTTTTGGTCATCTGAACGCGGGCGGAGAAGCGGGCAATGCTAGTATAAATTATAATATTACTTATAAACTTATTTCTAAAATTTTGCACATTAGCTGGATATTTTTAAACACTATATATAAAATACGTTAATTCTTTATTGAACTAATAGGTAATAATAATAATTCGACTGAATTCGGCCGCGACAGCCAGTCTCACTGAGACTAGGCATGTACACAGGAGATAACATAACAAATGTGCGAAAACACAATCTCACTCTCTATTCTGTTACTCTCATACTCCCGTAATACGGCTATTCGACACGACAGTTGAGAGATCAGCCGTAGGTTCCACGGTTTTACGTTCTCTCAGAGTCCAAAGGGCGAAACACCGCCAACTTCCGAAATCCAAAAGAATTTCTTGATAGAAAAATGTTAAAATATGAGGTATTGAATCAGATTTAAAAACTTGATGTGTTTAGTGGCTAAATCAAATTTAATGCTGTGGGTGTCAACTTCAAAAATATATACGTTGCCTATATTGTAATTGAAAAGTTCCGTTGAGTTTTCTTACTTTTAAGTGTTTTGAGTTTTGACGTAAGTTAAAACTTTTTAGAAGATTTATGACATATTTTTTTGTAAAAATTAATGTAGAGACGAAGATCACAGTCCCACCATCCCATTCCATGGTAAGCTACTAGGCTTGTGTTATGGATACCAGATAATTGATACACTAAACATATTATATAACTTTAAATACATACATACAAATTATAAATATACACACCCACGACTAGAGTACAAACATTAGTACTCATCATACAAATGAATGCCACCAGCGGGACTCGAACCCGTGACCGCTGGCATAGCAAGTAGGGTCACTACAAACTGAACCTTGTCGCCTTTGACACTAAAATTTGACATTTAATATTATTTCAATTCATATTAAGAATTAAAATCCTCCGAGGAAGAAGTCTTGCGGTTGAGACAAATTACGTGATGAATAGCGTCTTAGTGCGAAGCGCGAGTATTAGATGTGAGTAATGTAGTTCTCTATACCTACTAAGGAAAGCGGGAAATAAAATGCAAAATGTTGAAATGGTTTTTTTATAATATTATGTTAATTCTGGCGTTTTCCTTCATAGAAAATATATTATATATATATATATATATATATA